CTGGGAGGGAGTTTGCCCCTTCTCACACATGTGGCATGCCAGGAAGTGCGACTGTGTTGGATCACACGTTAGATCCCATCGTGCCTTCACCTGCATGTGTAGAGAGGGCCTCAATTAGTCACTTCTTGTGAAGGACTTCAGCAAAGGCTTTTTGAAAGGTCAAATGCACTATTTCACTATTGCACTTTTACTTCTTTATTGACACACTCCGATTTTTCATAAGTCTATGACACTGGATTTCTTTTTGGCAGAGATGGGGCAAGGAGCTGGCTTTTGCTTTCCTTTCCTTTTCGTTCATCTTGTGTTTTTTCTCAGACTGTGTGTCTTTTTCAGTGCAAAGGAGGGAAACTCTCATCTCCTGCCCATTGACATGACAACATCCTTCTCAAGCACTTCTTCAAATCTCCATTTTTTTTCTTAATTGTTTATTCAACAGCACATTAATCTCTCACTTTCTACCAGTGGACTCACCCTAAACAGTTTTTGCTGGCTACCTTGAATAGAGAAAGGTTTAAAAAAAATTACGTCTTAGCTTTCTCCGCAGCCTCTAACAGTCGACGAGATGCTGCTAGAAGAAGCGCAACTGTGAGTTCAGCAACTGCTTCTGTCAACACATCCGGAGTGTATCCTAATCTGATTCCTCTGCATCAAGACAAAAAATATTCAGATGCATCATTAGCAGGGTTTCCAGAATGCATGAGTGACTGAACTAAAGCTATCCCTGGACCATCTCCACCTGAAGACTATACTATTCCACCCATTATGGACATAAATAGACTTAAGCATGAGCAGAATATAGTCTCGAGGCGCATCTCCTCCTTGGCTGTCCTGGTAGGACTGTCAAAAAGGGTAGTTATGCCAGTGAATGAAGTCAGGGACAGATCCAGAGGCAGGTGCAGTAGCATGGTCACACATCTATTTCAGACTGCACTGTGGAAGCAGCAGACAGGGACTTTTAAATCTGGAATCAGGTAAGAATTCTCTCCCCTGCCCGTCCCTTCCACGCTCAGTGGCACATCCCTTCCCATACTATTCCTCTTCCCCACCTGCCATTGCCTTGTCCCCCATGGTGTTTTCTGCCAGCCCAAGAGCAGGGTTGGGGAGGGTGAACTCACCTGCTGGCGCTGCTACTGCTGCCGTTGTCCCTGGCTGAGCCTGGGTTCCTGCACAGCCCAGCTGGGGTACAGCCCCTCTCCTCCCAACCCCCAGTCAGCTGGGGATAGTTACAGTAGCTGGGGGGGTAAGTGGGGTGGGAATGGAAGTGGAGGTGCAGCTGAGCACAGAGGAAAAGGAAGGGGTGCCAAGAGCTGCAGGGGTGGGATTCTTACCTGATTCAGGGACTTAAAAAAGACCAAAAAACAAACCCTGGCTGCTCCTCCTGCAATGTGGCCTGTCCATCACAGTGAGGTGAGGGAGCTCCATGTGGGAGTGTAGCCACCCCTGCAGTGTGGGTCACTGCTCCTATGCCTCCTTTTATGAAGTCCTGGATTTGCCCATGGAAGAAGCTAGTGCTGGCTAAAGTTTCTCAGATCTCTGCTATATCCTTTTTCTTCCCCAGGGGTGCACAATGCTTCTCACAATGCAGAGAGAACAGGGCTACACATATGCTGTAAACTCACCTTCCCCAGAAGCCAGATGTGACCTCCAACACATGGTAGTACTATGTGCTGGCTGGTCCCTAGCAATATAGCCCCATCTGCACAGAGGTAGAAATGGGCTAGTGTGGGGACAGGCTAACTGGGACAGTCACTCAGCATGACTAATTAGCCTACCCAAAGTTGTGTGAGCCTGGCAGCAGTAAGCTTATTGTGCAGACATTGCCTCAAGCTCCATTACAGCATCTGGGAGCTCCATTGCCTGGCAAGAGACACAGCTTTTACAGTATCCCCATTCTTCAGCCCTTAAGGAGAAAGGGGAAGGGTTTCCTGCATTTGTAGACCTTGTGGTTAAAGGCAGCAGCTTTCCTTACCTCTTCTTCAGTTCCTGCAGAGAAATGTGGTCATATCCCACAGACATAGTGCTAACCACTTTCAGACTGGGCCCTGTCATTTGCAGAGAGAACAAGATGTCATAACTCACATACTGAAGGCCTCACCTGGACAGGGGCTGCTCCATGCTGATGGGGATCAGGACTGATAGGCAACGGCACATACCTAGCTACCTTCTATTGCTCCTTCTGGAAATGCCCAGTACTGAACTGTCACTTATCCCATGCCCTTTGTCTCCTTGATGCTCTGTGGATGAAGGCTTCCTCCCCTTCCCTTCTTGTCACATGTTCATGGTGAACATCAGTGTGTGAATCCCATTTTCCTCAATGACTTCAGAATCCATTATAATCTTCCTGATATTTGCTAACCTTTGCACTTCATGGGTGAGCATGTCCTTACTTAGCAAGCTTTTTGTCCAAATTCTGTTTGACTTTGCTGTACAGGCTTCTGTCTCAGAGGCCTAAGGAAGGGTATTACGATACCTGAAAGGTTGCCTGTGTCTATAGCAACTGTATGGTTGGTCTAGTAAAAGACGTCACCCACAAGAATTCTTGCCAGTTTTCCTTTAACAACTGGACCAACTGGTGGTAAAAGCCAATGCCACTTTAATGGGCTTGCTTCTTGATCTCACAGTGTTGCATTAAAGAGGCATCTTTTCTTCCACTGTTGTTGGTTTTTATGGGGTTTTTTAATCATTGTCAACACAAGTGGAGCCAGAGCAAGAAGATCAAGCAGTAGAACCCACATGCAGCCCTAATGCAAACTAGGGAAAGGGCCCTCCAAAGAGTCAGCAATCTAGAAAACTTGCTCCAGCATGGATGCCTTGTTAGTGGCTCACATTGGAGCAGGGAAGCAGAAGTCCCTCCTCCAAGTGCTGGGGCCTCCACTCCATCTGTTAATAAGGAACAGTGAAAAGTGTCGGCAGGCTAGCATACCTACATATAACTGTGATATTTGGGAGCTGGGGAAGTGGAGGACATCTTACTTTCTGCTGGTTCTTCCAGCCCAGCAGTACTAAAGTACCTCCAAAATATCCACTTTCATACCAGCTGCATCCAAGACTTCAGCATCTATCTTCTCTGTCAGGAGACAGTACAAGCCCTGGATCCCAGCAACCTTCTTGAGAAGTTCTGAGCGTGGCACTGGGTCTTCTGAATCCCATTGCTCAATGTGGCATCTGCAAGAGGTATGATAGTGGAGTGGATCAAGGTCAGCATTGTGGGGTGGTGGGGGATAAGCAATAAGAGCCAACTCATTTCTTTAGGCAGCAAAGTCTCCTTGGTTCAGGGTCAGATTAAAATGAAAAAAACCCCAGTTTGAATGGGAAATTGCAGAACAAGAAATCATCCACAAACTGGACTGTGTTAAGTACAGTTTAAGCAGGGTTATAGATTCTTATCTCATTACCTGGCTTAGCTTTTTTGACCTCTTTTGTTCCTACAGGTTTACTGCTCACTTGCTTTTCTTTCCTAGCACTGCCCCACCTCCCTCCTACCTTGCTGTCTCCCCTGCTTTGTCTTTGTATTCTAATTTCTCTTTCTTTATACTCTGCTTTCTGCACATCCTTTTACAGAAGCTAATGATGAGCCTATCTTATTGTGCATACACTGCCTTCTGACTGACTTCAGACTAACATAGCTAACTACCTCCCACAGGGTCAGACTAGCTTTTGTGTGGGAAGGATCAGGGGTAATCTTCTAATACCACCCCCCTGAGCAAGGAGGTGGCCAGGCAGGGGGTAGGAACAGACCTGGCTACTCCTCCTTATGTGACTGCTAGAGCAGCGCCCTGGGGACATGGGGTGGAAGAGAGTAAGCTCCATGAAATGGGGTAACCCCCCTCTTCCCCTGATTCAGGGGGGTTCACAGGGGCGGAAATAATTGGGCATGTCTACACTTCCTCCGTGGGGAGCCTGAGAGCACCATTGAGAAACAGTCACTCCTGCCCAGAATGCACCAAAGCAGCATAGCCAAATAGCACAGCCCTAAGCACATGCCCAAAGACCTGTTCAGGCTCTTTCTCAGGCATGCCTGGCAGCATATACTTGGGGCTGGGCCAAACCAGTGGACTACATGATTTCTGGTCTTCAGCATGTTGAGTGGGAGTGAGCAATAGGTGTGCTTTTCAGTGCTGCTCCTTGCCTCACCCCATGGCAGCATGGATTTACTCTTGAGCCCTAGTTTTTCCTTCAGGCAGCTCTTGGGACAGGGCCACTGGGCTGCAAAGTTAAGATGTAGCCCCTAGAGAATATAAAGCGCTGTGAATGCTCAGTAGCTAGTCATTGTGTGGTACTTGTGAGTCACTTCTATTCCTCTGTTGAGGGGCAGATCTAGAGCAGGTGTAGCGGTGCAGTCACACCCCCTTTAGTTCCTGGTCCACCCAACATTTAAAACCAACTTCCTGGCACAGCAGCAGCATTTCTAGTCAAGCAGCAGTGAGGGACTCAGTTGATTTCATGGCTTATAAAAAGCTGCCTGATTCCTTCTAAACTCTTCTTTCCATAGGTGCTAAGGAACCTTTTAAGGAGGTTTTAATGTTCCATTAATTAAGCTATTCTTTCTTCAGCACTTTTGCTATTTTCCAGCTGCTCTTGGTAATGTAACTAACTCCTGTTTCACCCCCCTGCAGACTGTTTTTAATGCTAGTGTGAAGAGATGTTGACTAATGCCAGAGGGATCAAGAATGAGGGAGTGACAGAAGTGGTGAAAAAAGGAGAACACCGCTTCCGGAGCAGCTGTCTTTTTAAGATAGAATGGCTGAGAGGAGGGCGCGGCAGCGTGTTTAGCGAGTCGCCAGGGATAAAAAAAAGAGGAAGGAAAGCAGCCTGCAGGGGTGAAAAAGACACCTGAAGACCAGTCCTATGAGCAATAAGTAGCTTGATTGAGGCACATTGAGCTGGGAGTGGACGGAAAAGAAGTTTCATCTCCAGGAAGAGGCTCTGAGTGGTGCGGGAATGTCAGCTGAAGCAGTGGTGAGAAAAAAGAGGGCAGTTACCTTCCAGGCTATACACAAAAGAGTGTTTATTGTTTTATTGTTTGTGTTGGGACATTTTGTATAGTTAATCAGAGTTTTAGAGAAATTCATGATTGAGGGAGACTGAGTGACGGTTACTCCATCACCATGAAGAAGCAGAACTACCCGGAGAGATCTGGTGAAATAAGATCTCTCCTGGAGACAGAGTGTCCTGTACAAAGAAAAGAAAAGGAATGAAAATTTTTATTATTTATTTTAACTGTTAAGTTTCAGTTAATTTATACTGTATATTATGTAATAGTGGAGTGAGCCAACTGAAGATTTACAAAGTCAAAAGTTAAGATAGACCTGAAAAGCATACAATAACCACAATCTGTTTAACTGTGAGTTGGTTATAAATGTAAAAAGAAAATAAAGAAAAGTGATTAACCCAAAGCAAACTGTGCTTCCATAACTGGCTTTAATCTCAGGTGTCGTCAGGAAGAGATTCGATAGAGATTGTGAACCAGTAAGTCCATATGTAGATTGTCATTGCATGACTGCGGTAGAAAATAAATAACGCCTCCCGACTAATAACACTGAGAAATAATCAAGACGTGGCAAGCAAGAGTTGGACTATACCACAAAGGTTCAAATATTGGCAATCACAAAAAAATAGAGCTAAAAAGTGAACATAAGCAGAATCTCCACAGCTAGCTAGAAACATTAACTCAGATGTGGAAATTTTAACTCGGGTGAACATTAACTCAGGTGTAGAAATAACTTTCAGTGAAGCATTGGTTGCACTGTCAAGATGCTCAAGGAGCATAGATTTTGTTTTATGAATCAGAAAGATGTACATTTAATTCTAATGACTACAGGACTAAAGAAACAATAACTTTTGAATATTTTTGCCTAGTTTACTGTGGTTTTAATACATAATATATCAAACCATATATAGCAAATAAATGCACATTCCAATAAAGTAATATCTATTTTTGCTTCAATCTTAAACTGAATAACATAACTGTAGGTCCCTAGCATATTAGTAAAGCTTCTAGTTTCTTTTTACCTGAAGAAAAACATGTTATGTTATACAGTGATACACAACACCATCTGCATCCCACTTTTCAAAACTCTAGATCTGCCCATGTCTCGATTCATAAAGGATCACAATATTTTCATACACAAATTCATACATAAACATCTGGATTTATTCTAGGTCTGAACCACAAATGAGGCAACTTTTGAAGAGTTGGCATGACCACTACACTGTCTGCTGTCAAATCTTGAATGGATCTCAACCAGTGTGCTTCCTAATGTTCATCTGTAAGCAATCCCACAGTCATTCTGGATCGGCTATTTTCAGATACACAGGTGTGAATCCAGAATAAATCCACTGATTGCCTTTCCAGATTACTCAGTGAGCACGTCTACACATGCATTTGATCTGAGATCAGTTTACTTGCAAGTTAACGCTCCCAGGCAGGCAGCTACACATGCAGGGACTTGGCAGCAGATTTGTTGCTCTTAGCAGCAAACTGGTGCCACTTCCTGCAGCCCTGCAATGGGCCCCTGCCCCCACTGGGGGGAGCTCCAGGCTCCAGCTGCAGCTGCCAGCAGCTGGCAGCCCTCTAGCCACTTCCCTGGCCAGAAGCAGCTTTTGCAGTGCAAGGCAGCATGCGGCAACTCTCTCATAGATTCATAGATTCATAGATGTTAGGGTCGGAAGGGACCTCAATAGATCATCGAGTCCGACCCCCTGCATAGGCAGGAAAGAGT